TGTGTCACACTGCTAGAAACACCCAAAAGTGGCGGTAAGAATATGGTTTCCAGAAGTTACCCTGGCCGAGCCAATCTCTTGACATGAACCCCATCGATAACCTCTCGGCCATACTCGACCGGCAAGTCAAGAAACAACCAAAAAAACCAACTTCGAAGAGCGATCTACTCCAAGTTTTGAAGCAAGAGTGGGCAAAAATCCCACAATCTAAAATTGACGAGATGATTCTCACGATGCCCAAAGGATCAACGAAATCCACGAAGCGAAAGGAAGATCTACTAGATATTAATTAAATTATAAATATATCAATTCATGTGAATATGACTGAAAAATTTCATTTTTTCTGAAAAGGTGGTGTCTATGCTGTGTAGTTCTCTTGGTAATAGATGTGTTTGAGGTAGAAAGCCCCAACTCTTCAAAAGTAAGTTTAACTAAGTCACAGTATACTCTGTGTGATAGATGGCTTGTTTGGAATTTCATGCAAAGTTACACGAAAGCTATCTGCATGTTATATATGGCAATCCAGTAGAGATATTGTCAATGACCTAGCTGTAAGTACAGATGAATATGTTACCTCCAAGTATGTTCATAACAAGCTCCTGTTGTTTCGGAGATATGAAGCTGATTAGACAGTGGTACAAAGCACTACACCAGTACTTAAGCAGTAATATGATGACATATCATTTTCACTGAATAACAGAAAATCTATAAAATCTATAGCTGAAAGCTGCAAGTTTGAGTATTGTGAAATATGACTGATCTCACTGGCATTCAATGGGGCTTTAAAATGTCTACAGTTAGCAAAAGAATGAGTAGTTTTGTTCACGTAGATACCTTCACAGAATGCTTGAGGCTGTTCACTTTCTAGCTATATGGTTTCAACAAATCAAATCTAAATGCAGCAAGGTAGGTTATATTCAAAACTAATAATACAAGGTTTTTAAGTTATGAATGAGGTACAAATACATAGAAAGAGAGATGTTTTTTTGTTGTTTTTTTTCTAACATTTATGATTTAATTATATAAATGGCCTGGAACAAAAACAAATCTTGATTATATCAAAGCCCTTGAACTGAGCCACACTTAGGTCATCCTGGTACTTATAATGCTGTTAGTATAATTGATCTGCTGCCACATGTAGTTACAAAGGTTGATAAAATCCTATGACAGGTTTTTACAATTTATTGAAATACAAAATTGCTTATAAAAAAGCTTATAACTTTCTTAAAATAAAAATCTATTGATTTAGTGAATAAAACTAAAGTTGTACTTTAGTAGCCTGAAGGCCAGATAGACTTTGGCTTCTTTGGTGAGCAACAAGAGGGGACTTCATAGTGTTGATATCATTTTGTGTAGTTGCTGAGAAAGAAGAAGATAGGTTTATTTGCTCCATCTGGTCGCTAATTGTTAGCTCTTCTGTTGTAGTAGTCTCCACTGGTGCTTGTTTCTGTTGACTCCTTCCACTAGCTGGAGAAGTGCCTCCTGTTGTTGTATTCAAAGGAGCACTGCCACCTCCATTTGTCTGAGACTGTTGTGGTTTCTGCTGAGCTGCCAGTCGAGTAGCTTCCTTAACCTCTTGGAATTTCTCTATAAACTGAAAAAATAAATAAATAATACAAAATGTAAACAACCTTTAAATAGTTATGTTAAACTTTTAAAGAAATCATTTCCACTTTCTGCTCAAAATAAAATCTTTAGGAACTTTTGGTATATATTTTTTAAACATTTACGAGTTGTTCTACATGTACATTACTTCATTCTAGTAAACAATTATTTTGTCCTCTTATCAAAGGCTTTGAACAAAAGAATAATGGAAAAGCATATTAAGTTGAGTATATTCCCAACATACATCTTCACAGTTAGTAAAGATATCTTTTGCAGTATTTACAATTATTTATAATAAAAATTGTAAAGTGGCAATGAAGTAATGTACAAGTAATTTCATTAAAGTTAAAGAACTGTTTATATTATATCCTAACAATACAGAATTATGCACAATGTGTGTCACATGCGTCACTAATGTTTGGTGTAGGAGATGAAAAGAATGGAGGAGATACAAAAGTAAAAAATAGTAATTAAGATTGAAAAAGAACTAAGTGTAGTAGAACAAAATATAAGCTTGTTACAATAATTAGTTTATAACTAAAATCAACAAGTAGTCACTGAAGTAAAGACTTGTTCCATCTGACAGATGATTTTTATTTCTTTGACAAATTACGTATTTCTTCCTTGAACATTCATATTTATCAGCACTTCTGATAATGTTTAAATAGAAAATTTTATCGTCTGTCCAGTCCAATGCAAGATGCAGAGCATAGTGTTTAATTTCAACTGTGATTTTTTCTGTGTTCCTTGGTATGAGGTGATAATGTTCTTTTAATCAATTCAAAATGAGTTAAATTTCATTCAGGAGTACTGCTCAACAATGACAACAGTTTGGCATACATAATTAAGGAACTGATAAAAAAAAAAAGTCTGATAGTGCAGGGATGAGAACAGTAAATTAAACTATTGATTGTTCTTGGGTTCCAAGTCATAAAAGCCATGGCTGATGATAGTGACTTGGCATGCTCTCTGGTGTATTCTAGGCTAGCTTGGGATACTAAATATTCACTTTATTTAATGCAAGAATGATCAGTATATATTAAACTTTTATCGACTATTATCACTTTAACGTATGTTACAGTGATCAAAATTATAGATTAAGTCGCATTCAAACCTGTCATTTCATAAAATATTTACAGATACCATATACAAGTGTTTATAATTATAATGATTAGACCAGTTAAATACAAACTGGTCATTTTTGAAATAATGAAGCTATATCAGTACAAATCAACTTCCACAATGGCAAAGTACAGACCAATCATTTACAAACTCTGTTTCTTAAAAGGCAGGTATGGAATATTATGTATGAATCTCTGCTTATCCTACTAATTTGTTGCTGTTGTTTTTTTTTCACTTTTTTTTCAATTCTAAAGAAAAAATGTATGATGGAATTTCTATACACTGTGACAACCTTTTTTTTTTGTTAATTTTGGCTGATAAAGGTACATGATAATGTAATGGCATATAATACAACAGATCATAAGATATAAAAGCTGAAAAATTATCATAAGAAGATACAGAAATAAGACTCAAGAACTGTCAAACAAAAAGAGAAATTACAAATTAGAAGGCAGAATTTAGTGCTTAAGAAAAACTGAAGCATCTAATATAGTAATTTTAAACAAAGAACCAAACATAAACAAATGAAAAATCAAGGAATCCATCTTAATTGAACTAAACAACCCTACTCTAAACCAACACCCTGGGGTGCCAAGATATCTCTTCTAAGTCATGCAACAATATCCGGTCATGTGACCTCTGTTCCATACTGTGTGTGTGTGTATATATATATCTATGTCAGTGTAAACTACTTGTAACTTGTACCTGATGATGACAAAACCTTGTTGAAACATTGTACATATACTGTTATGTTAAACTTATACTAAAGTTTTTCTTTATTACCCATTCAAGCCGTCTCTTAGCATTAATAATAAAGGATATGGTTAGTTTTGATTAAAAAATATAAACTTTTTACACAGATCAGGGTCACAAGAAGGTAACAGGCCAAAACAATTAATAATCAAGCCTTAAAACAAGAAGGAAAGGGAAAATGCTGAAAGGAACAGAAACATTACATGGTCTTACAAGGACAACTCACTTAGGACCATACAAATAAAATATAAATAAAACTGTTAGAAGTGAAAAAATCGGGGGCAGAAATAAATATATGCTGTTACGTTTGTTTTGTTGCTGAGCATAAAATTTTATAATGACTTATCTGTGCTGTGTACATTGCAGGCATTAAACCCCAATTTTTAGCATTATAAATATCAAGCTTACTGATGAACCACTAAGTGGACGGCTGTTGTGAGGCTTGATAAGTTAATACTCCTGTTCGTGTACCTCAAGAATGAATGGTACAAAACATATTTTCGTTAATGTAATCTCATTTATAGGTCCCAAACATTTAGAAATTGTACTCAAGAACAAATGAATGCATACACACATACATGCAGACCTATTAAGTGTGATCTGTTGTTTTTCTCCACACAACTTTAACCAGTCTCAGGTGGTTAGAAACAATGAACTTTGAACACTAATACATTCTTCTTTTATTAGATGAATACATTAATATTTTGTAAGTATCAGATTACCTTTTAGATTCTAACTAGTAAGTCATCAATTTGTTAGATTCCATATGTAACATTTAACGTCAATCCACTAAAAAATTGTTTATAATTTTTGTAACTATTCAGATGCTAAGAAAATCCATCATAAAAATAATATTTATGAATATATTTTTCATGTTTCCTTTACAGTTGAAATTCTTGTCTGCAAAAGAACAAGTTAAAGCTAGATTAGTAATTTTAAAAATTTGTTTATACTATTATTGTAAACCATAAAACCTTCCATTCTGTGACTGCATAAGTTAATGTTGGCTGTTATAAGCAATTTAAACTGTCAGCTTGTTAAATTTTCTGTTGGAGTGAACTAAGCTCAACTATGAAATTTCAATATCATATGTCGTAGCATGTATTTAAATGTTTATGTATATATGTATGTACATACACTCATGCACAGTTATAATTACTGAACTTACAAAAAACTCAAGCCTCTTTCAAAAAAACATATAATTTCTAAAACACCAATGAACCAATTAACATAAATTACATATAATTTGTTTTGTAAAAAATAACTTAAATTGTTCTTACTTTGTTAAGCTCTGGTTCAGATCCAAATCCAAGTCCATAAACAGTATTTGCCCTTATATCTGACCACTGACCAAATTTTTGTGAGGTTTTGGTAAATGTCATGTTTGGAGTAATTGTGCTATTTATAACAGCCTAGAATAATAATAAAACAAAAGGTCTTGAACACATGAAATACAACATATTTTGTTTAAAGACTTTTTTACATAAAGCAATTTAATATACCTTTCCTTGAAAATCAAATGACCATTTAAAAAAAAAATCTAAAACATCTCCATGTTATACAACTTTTATGATATAGATCAAAAACATTTTTGAAATGCTCATTTTACAAACTTAAACTGCAAGTTTTGAAAATACACTTATAGATACAGATTTTTTTCTATTAAATACATATACATGCATCCTCAAACATAGTAAGAAAGTTATTCAAAATAAAATTTGAAAAATCTTCATCTCCATTTAAAAGTAACGTTAACAATAAATTTGATTTCAACACTGAAGAAATGTAGGAATGATACCTTTAGGAACTAAAATATACTGGAGATGGGATATTAATAACAAAACAACACTGTAAATATGTCACACAATGAAAACACATTCTGGTCTCAACTTTTGCATGCACATTCTATAGTTCTGAAACATTTGTG